GGGGACATGCAGATCTGTCCTCACAGAAGAGGGAGAGCTTGTACCTGAATAAAACTTGGTCTTAAAGGTGCCACTGGACTGTCTTGGACTGGAGGGGGGGGGGAACTCTGCAGCTTACCTGGCTGCTTCTTGCTCTGAGTGAGGGCTGCTGGGAGCAGGGGGTGGGGCTTGTTGCATGTGCCCGCCCCCTGGGCTCTTTACTGCCGGAGCTCCGCTCCTGTGTGCTTCTGCAGGAAATGACCCCTGGTCCTAGTCTACCTCACTGGGCTGCTGGAACAGCACAATGTATGAGAAGCCCTGTGAACAGTGTCAGTATCATGCAAATACTAAGCATTACTATTGGTTAGTAATGGGGTGGAAGATGACCTGGTGAACACTGTGCTCTTATTTATTTTATTAAATTTATACCCCACCCTCCCCACAAACATGCTTTTAAAAGGCAAGATATACATTTTAAAAAGCGATAAATAAGCAGTTGCTGCCAAAAATGTTGGCTCCAACAGGCTCAGGATTAGGTTCTGATTTCTTTGTGATTCCTCCAGCTGCCTCTTTTCCTTGCCCCTTTAAGAATAACCCTCCCTGGTTAACAACTCCTGTGCCTCTCCCTCTCTGCCTACTCAAAGGGATAAATCTCACAGAACGCTATAGGATTTCCTGCCGACTATCGTGCTTAACAACCATATCCTAATCTAAGCATATTTAACAGTATTCCCATACTAAATCTTCATTGTTTCCAGTGTGCTTTGTTGTTGTTGTTCAGTCGCACAGTCGAGTCCGACTCTTCGCGACCCCATGGATCATCTCCCGCCAGGCCCTCCTGTCTTCCGCCGTCCTCTGAAGCTGGCTCAATTTCATGTTCGTTGCATCGATGACACTGTCTAACCATCTCATCCTTTGCCGTCCCCGTCTTCTTTGACCTTCAATCTTTCCCAGCATCAGGGTCTTCTCCAGGGAGTGCTCCCTTCTCATTTGGTGGCCAAAGTATTTGAGCTTCAGTTTCATTATCTGGCCTTCCAGGGAACAGTCAGGGTTGATTTCTTTTAGGATTGACTGATTTGATCTTTTTGCAGTCCAAGGGTCCAGCTAAATGGATTATAGCTTTATTTTTTTTTTAATCAAGTTAAAACGATGCTTTTTCGCCCCACTGAAATTAACAGTATGCGCAGCCTGCTCTTAAGTACTTTGACGTGGAAGTAACTCCGAGTGAGCGCGACGATGCCTGTTCCCGAGTCTGCATTACAAAATATACCGTAAAGCCACTTTCATCCATATCCGCACGTTTGAAACGGCTTCAGTGAACTGCAGCCAGATTCAGAGCCCGATTCTATGCAGAATAGGTGAATTTATCCCTAAAAAGCGTAGCACGTCTAAGTGTACAATAAGATCGGGCTGCAGGATATACATCACTTGCAGCATCCACCGTCCGCGTCGTGAGCCGACTGGCCGCCCACACCGAACCTGCTCCGCTTTGTCTTGGAGCGGTCTCTTTTTCACCAATCGGAGGCCTGAGACAGAACGACACGGCTGGCTCGCAATTCCATACGATGACGTTATGCCCGCTCTACGGCGGCCTTCATAATGATCAAGACGCATGCGCGGCGCAGCGTTTTATTTGTACTAGTTCCGAGTTTAACTGCGCTCCGGTGCGTCAAAAGTGAGCACGTTTCCTGTTCTGGAAGGGATGCGCGGGTAGCTGAGTGGAGGTGAGATTTGCCGACTGAGAAGCGCAAGGTAGGAGTCAGTGTAGTAATCATCTTTCTTAGCTTGTTTATACTTCCGGGCAAATCGCGCCTGTATTTTTAATTAATTATTATTTAAGGTAATTTTTTTCTGGGGAGCTCACGGTGGCACACATGGTTCCTCTCCCTTCTGCGCTTTATCCTCACAGCAAACTTCTGAGGTAGGATAGGCTTAGGGATGCTACCCTCCAGGTGGGACCTGGGGATCCCCCAGAGTTACAGCTCATCTCCAGACTACATAGAACATTTCATCTGGGGAGAAAATGGTTGCTTTAGAGAGTGGACTCTATGGTGTACCCCACTGAGGTCCCTGTCCTCCCCAGGCTCCATCCCCAAATCTCCAGGAGTTTCTCAACATGGATCTGGCATAGGGTTGCTAGGTCCCCCCTGGCCACCAGCTGTTGGGGGTGGGGGGGTAGAATTGCCAGATCCAGGTTAGGAAACTGCTGGAGATTTGGGGATGGAGTCTGGGGAGGACAGGGACCTCAGTGGGGTGCAATGCCATAGAGTCCACCCTCCGGAGCATCCATTTTTCTCTAGGGGGAACTGATCTCTGTAATCTGGAGATGAGCTGTAATTCTGGGGGATCCCCAGGTCCCACCTGGAGGCTGGCATCCCTATCTGGCAATCTTCCCATCCCTGGTGGTGGTGGTGGTGGGGGACCTGGCAACCCTAGTCAGGCTGAGGGAAGGTAACTGGCCTAGGGTCCCCCAGTCAGCTTGATGGCTGTCTGAGGATTTGGATGTGGATCTCCCAGATCCTGTGTAGTTGCTGTAACCACTGTAGCCACACTGCTGTGGCCTGTTTCTTCTTGCTGAGGCCATGTTGCCTGTTATTATTCACATAGCTGGCACCTAGTCTCTTATGTCACTTGCATGGTGTAGTGGGATAAGGTCTTAGACTAGGATCTGGAGATCCTGGTTGAAATCTCCATGCAGGGTTGCCAGCCTCCAGTTGGGGCCTGGAGATCTCCTGAAATAATAGCTGATCTTCTCCAGACAACAGAGGTCAATTCACCTTGAGAAAATGGCTGCTTTGGAGGGTGGATTCTATGGCATTATACCCTGTTCAGTAAATATTAAGTGCTACTGTTGTTCCTTTTTTCTGTGCACACTGCTTCCATAGCAAGTGAGACCCTGTATGTGATATTGGCAGCATAGAGGAGAGTTGGCTACACATGTATATTCTATTCTTGGGCCCCTTTTCTGTTTAAAAAGTGAAAGGACAGGAGGAATCTCTGATTGACATAAAGCATGCTGTGTGAAGGGGGTGTATGGCCAAGCTTGCCAAGACACCCCTCATAAATATGGGACTGTGATACTGAACAGTGCATGAATCACTTCTGTGGGGTAGTAAGAGAAGTCCTCTTTGTCTAAGGGATGAAGAAAAATGACAGTTAACTTCCTAAAAGATTTGGCATTGAACACAGAAGTAAAGTAACAGTCAAAGAATGCCAATGGATTCTAAAAGGTGGTTGGCATTCAGATTTCTTTTCCTTTGCATGTTGGGACACTGGAAACCCATGGTGGTCTAAGGAAAGTAAAGGTAAAGGTTTCCCTTGCTCGAAAGCCAGTCAATGCCAAAAATGGGGGGGGGGGATTGCATCAGTTCAGAATGTAACAACTGAAATATCCAAAGTGCTTAAATCCTTCAGTCCCGGACTGTGTAATCAGAACTAGAGTAGTGCCTGTGTAAGTTGAACAGAAGAACCCCATCCAATCATTAAAGAGAAACAGGGGAAATGATGGAATATGGCCATGCACAAGTGGAACCAGATTATGGAAACAGGATTCATTGCAAAAATTCCAATGTTTCCTGCAGAATCCTGATTGTCCTTCAGTCCTTGTGGCATTTGAAGAAAATATGGGAAATGAATAGTCAACTTTTACTATGGGCTAAGTTAAGCCTTTTTAGTAACTAAGGGATGGGCCTTTGTGCACTTCCCATTTATCACTATTGCCATCCTTCCTTTCCATTCGTATTATTCTGTCATTCCACAGGTCCTGCTCTTCCTACCCTCAAGAAATCTACAAATGTACTAAGTTACCATTGTATCTTTCTGAGTAGAGAATTGTGGGATTTTGTGGTTAAGATCCTGAAGTGCAGACTGGAAGGTCAGTAGTTCAGCAGTTCACGACCTGAATGCCGCATGATGGAGTGAGCTCCCGTCTCTGGTCCCAGCTCCTGCCAACCTAGCAGTTCGAAAGCAAGAAATTGCAAGTACCGCTTCGGTAGGAAGGTAACAGCGTTCCGTGCACCTCGGCACCTAGTCATGCTGGCCTCATGACCACGGAAACATCTTTGGACAGCGCTGGCTCTTTGGCTTAGAAACGAAGATGAGCACCGCATCCCTAGAGTCCAGTTTGACTGGCTTCCGAGCAAGGGGAACCTTTACCTAATACGTAGATGTTTATTTGGATGTTGCAGTGGCCCACAGTGGTGTTCCTCTCTAAGCATCTCTGTTGGCTAAGTTAGCTGGTTGCCGTTTTGATGCACAAATGCGCACCACAAGTTACCCCCATCACATTTAGAAACTAAATTTGCTCCACTACCTTTATGGGGTTACCTGTTACCCTTCATGTTAACAAAGTCTTTGTTAAGTTGGTTGAAATCTGCTTGGCTCCATCCTGCTACCACCAGCCTTGTTCTCTCAGATGCATGTTTAATAGTTTATACTTGTGAGGTTGGCTCTTGGGAAACCTGGTTTAAAAGGCAAGGACTTTAAACATTATTGCAACCACTGACACCTGTTGAACTATTCCCAAACTTCAGCACAGGAGCTAAACCTCTATGACAGAGGCTCTCCAAGAGATGGTTGTGTAGGTATTGCCCTCTCCTTGTGTCCCCCAGGGTCAAGGATGAGGCACATGCAATAAAATGAAATGGTAAAGTGAGATGTGAAAATTCTGAACTGTGTCACTTCTCACTCCAGGTGGAGAAGGCAAAGCAATCCTTTAAACTAAAAATCCTTGTGCATCTGGATTGGTATGCTAAACTTGTCTTTCTAAAGTGCTTGTTTAATGTATGTGGGGGAGCATCTTACATAGTGGGACATTTGAAGACATGATGCCGCCTCTGTGGTCCAGAGTGGAGTACTATGGTCCATCCCACCAACTTAAGCTGCTTCATGGGCAGAAGGTGCAAAATCCTGACTTTTGTGTCAACCCCATTGCTTTATACCCCGCCTGTACCATCTCCACCCAAAAGGTCTTCCTACATTCTAGTCTCAGTAGTGGTGGATGCCTTTCAGCACACAAGCAATGTTTCATTCACCGATCCAATATCTCTACTTGGTTGGGGCTGGGGTCTCAGTTGCACGTTGCTCTGCCCCGTGAGCCCATTCAGTGCTGGAGCAGATTTGCTGGTTTCTTTTTTTCTGGGGGCATTCTTGAAACTGTAGACTGTGTCAGGCCTCAGAGGAGCCAAGTTTGTACCATGAGGAATTTGCTAGATAAGAGATTCCACAGAATGGACTGGTGAAAGGGGTTGGTTACACTGGACCATGTAAGGAAGTTAGTTATGACGAGGCCATGAAAATCCTATGTTTTCTGGGTGGTTAGGCAGTAGGGATGTGTGTTTCCGGAATTTCCTTGCTGAAGTTGCCTGTGCTGTTAGTTTAGCTCCTCCTGTTTGAAACAGTTCCTTTTTAAAGAAGCTTATTTTGGACAAAACTTGGTAGCTTGTAGTATCATTAATATAATTCAATGATTAGGTAAAGGTAAAGGTTCTCTTGCTCGAAAGCCAGTCGAATCCGACTCTAGGGTTGCGGTGCTCATCTCCGTTACAAAGCCGAAGAGCCAGCGCTGTCCGAAGACGTTTCCGTGGTCATGTGGCCGGCATGACTAAACACCAAGGTGCATGGAACGCTGTTACCTCCCCACCGAAGTGGTACCTATTTATCTACTTGCAATTTCTTGCTTTCGAACTGCTAGGTTGGCAGGAGCTGGAACTAGAGATGGGAGCTCACTCCATCATGCGGCACCTGGGTCTCGAACTGCTGAACTACCGACCTTCCACAGCCTGCAGTTCAGCGTCTTAATAGGTGACTTTGGCAGACGAATCTCTCAAACCAACCTACTTAATAGGCTGGTTGAGCAGGTAAAATGGCGAAGGGAAAACTGGGCATGCCCACCAGAACTCCTTGGACGAAGAGCAGGCTAAAGATGGACTCCTCCCCACCACCACCACCCCAGTCAAGTCAAGACTCTCACCATGTAAACTGCATTTGTTCTTATGGTGTTGTTGCCAGCCCTAAGGGTTCTCATTTGAATGCAGGTGGTGAGAAAGAGACCAAGCAGTTGCCCAATGGAATCATTACAGAGTATCTTGAAATCTGCATGGGTGAGATTGCTCCACAGAGATTGGAACATGGCAAGGCTATTCTGAATTCAACAACATTTTTTTTTGCCATCAAGTCGCAGCCAAATTGTAGCAACCCCACCCCACAGTGTTCTCAAGGCAAGAGACGTTCAGAGGTGGCAACCCTGGGCTTCCTTAGTGGACTTCTGTTTAGCCTCTGAGATCTGAGGAGATCGGGCTAGCCTGGGCTGTCCAGGTCAAAGCAACAGGCTTTCCTGACTGTTCATTGTGGATTGACTGGTATGTGAACTAGTATGGAGACTGCCTTGTGTGAGTTGGTTTGGCTGGTAATATGAGGGTTAAAAAATGCTACAAGAAAATATAGCCATATAGAGCAGAGGTGGCTAGGAAGATGCATGTGAGCAAGATCTGGCCCTGACAACACTGTTAAATGTTACCACATTTGTATTTGCCCCCTTCCTCCAAAGTTCTCCTCCTCCTTATTTTTAACCAAACTTTTAATCAAAGTATGGTTAGAAAGCAGTAACTGATTCTACCCTTTCACCCTGCGCTTCTCTTGGGTCTTCTGTCATGTCCAAACACATTACTTTATTGGATGACGGTGCTTGTGTCTTCTGGCCATTTATTTTATATTTCATCCTGCCCTTTTCCCATCACTCCCTCCTTCTGTGAAAAAGGCGAGGCTGAGAGAGTGTGGCTGGCCCAAGATAGTCCAGTAAAGCCCAGGCCCGTAGCCAGGGTATTTTGATTTTGGGGGGGAGCTTTTAAAAAGTCGGGGGAGGCACTGAAATTCACACGTGGCTCCCACTTTTCCCCCAAAGCATTTAAAGGGTCCCTCCCCCCACTTCTCCCCCAAAGTATTTAAACTTTAAGTGCTTTGGGTGAAGAGCGGGGGCCGCATGCCAGCTTGGAGTACAGGTGTGTGCGTGGCCTCCCCCTGCTTCTCCCCGGAAACCATGGGGCCTGGGCTCCAGGAGGCCCCACCATAGCTATGGGCCTGGATTTGCCCCTAGGCCACCCTGATTCCAGTCCAACATGCTGATCAGTACAGCACACTAGCTCTCTAAGGTGTTCAGTCTAACGCAAAAAGATGTTAGCTATCTGTGGCGATATGGAATATCATAAGCAAAGGAAGCCAGCTTCTGCCCGATGGGTTTACAGTTTAAAATTCGGTAGTGGAGGAGGTAATGGAAGGAAGGTTAATGAGACCAATCTAAGCCATTGCAGCTGCCTGTACTTGAGCTTTGTGTCCGTTTGGGGGTGCGTGAGGACTAAGGGTCCTTTGTTTTTAGGTGTTCTAAATTTTTATGTAAGCTGCCCTGAGCCTGCCTTTGCGTGGAGGGCAAGGGTATAAATCAAATAAATAAATAAACAAACAAACAAGGGTCCACAGGGAAGGAAACTCATCAGCTTCTTTTGGGGGAGGGGCTGTATTGACCATCCAGGCCCATCTGCAGCAGCAGGACTGAGCCAGTGTGGTACAGTGGTTAGAGTGTCAAGACTAGGAACTTGGAGACTCGGGTTCAAATCCCCACTCTGCCGTGGAAAGTTGCCGGGTGACCTTAGGCCTCTTGCACACTTTCAGACGAACCAAACTCACAGGATTGTTGTGGGGATAAAATGGAGGGAAGAAGAACAATGTAAGCAGCCTAGGATCCCCACTGAAGAGAAAGGTAGGGTGTTCATGAAGTAAATAAGACTGTCTGGGGGTAAGGAATTTTTGCCCTCACCCCCCCTTTTTTTACCGCCCAGTCTTCCCGCACTGCTGCAGCGATTAAGAAGAGCAACTAGGACTCTTTTTTAAAAAAAAAATTGAGGTCCAAAGGAAGACAGTGTTTTAGAATATAACTTAGTGAGAGCCTTCGACTTCCCAGTATGCCAATGAGATGGGAGATGCAATTCCTAAAAGAGATCGGCATCGTCCCTTTTTGATTGGGCCATGAAAACTAACAGTAGTAGATTGCCACAGCCCTTCCTACGTACCACTTGCAGTTTCCAAGCAGCCCTCTCTTCTTTTCTCTAGCAGTGAGGCACGCATAGGCCCCTTTAGCCTTCGGAGATGTCCTCCAGCCTTTCCAACTACGCCTTGAGGATGGCCCGCCTGAGCGCACGGATATTCGGAGAAGTCGCTCGGCCGACCGACACAAAGTCCATGAAGGTCGTGCAGCTGCTCAGCGACTTGCCCATGGCCAAGCGGAAAGAGGTCTACGACTGGTATCCTCCCCACCGTACCTACGCCAACCTGATGAGGAAACTACGCTTCTACGGCCTCTACAGGTAGTCCGGGCCACTGGGGGTGGGCGGGTGAGTGAAGGCACGGTCGAAGACCCCAAGGAAAAGGGGGTTTCGTGCTTGGTTAAGGAAGAAGGAGGATTGCTGAAGGACTGCAAAAGGTGCGAATGGGATGGGCCTCCTGCTTGGGTTTCATGTAGCGCAGGGGTAGATCTCATGCATCTGTGGGAAACCCAGATTCAAGCCCTGGTGTCTTCTGTGAAAGGATCTGCGTATGCATGGAAAGGCAGTTACTTGAGACCTTGAAGAAATGCTTTTTGGCTTAAGTAGATCCTTGATCCCTCCTCAAACTTTTAATGGGGCCATACTTTGAAATGAACAAAGCCTGATGAGCAAGGGCAGTACGTTCTACTCACTGTCACTGCTGTGATTTTGCGTAAGCCGAAATACAGAGAGAGAGGCTCATTAATGCCCTGTACCCTTATTCTACCCCGCCCCCCCATGCACATATGTGATGTGGACAGCTACAGTGGCGCTGGCCAAGTTCTTCCCTTGGCTGCTTGGTCCCATGCACAAGGAGAAGAGGATAAGTGCTTTGATTTATACCCCGCCCTTCATTACCCGAAGGAGTCTCAGAGTGGCTAACAATCACTTTCCCTTTGTCTCCCCACAACAGACACCCTGTGAGGTAGGTGGGGCTGAGAGAGCTCTCTGGAGACGTGCCCTTGAGAGAACAGCTCTGAAAGAACTTATGGCTGACTCAAGGTCACTCCCAGATTAGAGTCCGTGCTCTTTACCACTACCCCAAACCAGCCTGAGGGTCCAAAGGCAAGGACTTGGCCTGAGCTGCTGTGGCTGTTTGCATTGCATGCACGTGTATGTGGGGCAGAGAGAGTTGAAGAGCCATGCGCCTGGGAGTGAACAGCAGAGGAAGCTGCTCTGTATGAGCCCTTGGCTTCTCATGCTGGAGAGGAGGGGTTTAGAGAGCCCTTTGCCAGAGTTTTCATGGAGGCAGTCATTTAAGGTGCATCATATTTATCTGGATATTTAGACCCTGCTTTTCTCTCCAAGGGCAACCTAAAGCCACATACAGCGTTTCAGGCTGTGTATGAATGGTTGGCGCACCCAAGACCACCCAGTGAGTTTCCATGGCAGGTTCAAAACCAAGTCTGCCAGCTCCACCACACCAGAGCAACTCTGGCTGTACTAAGGGACAGGGTAGGATCTTGGGCCCAGGCCCACTGAGAAGCTGCTAAGTGATTGAACCAGGGCAGCTAATGCCCCCTTCCTTCCTTATTTCTCAGATGTCCCTACCCACCTCAGCAAGCCTCTGGGGTAAGGAGGGTTAGGTGTTCTCGCTCCTGGGGCAGGGGAGTGTGATGGGGAAAGGTAAGCAAGGGCTAGGGGCTGCAGGCTCAGGTGTCACCCCTTGTTGAGTCCTCGCTGGGGGCAGCTGCTTCCAAATGGGCCTTACCTGCAGACACAACACAGTGCCTCCCCTGGTCTTCTGAGGCATCTCCTGCAGCAAGAAGACCGAGAAACGCTGGGATCAGCGCCTTGCCAGAGGGAAGAGTTGCTGTTGGGTTTCAGTCTGCATAGAAAGAGGATTTGCTCCGGGAGTAGCTACAGGGAGAGGTTGCCAAGTCCGGTGGCCTGACTGAGATATTAGTCTTTCAGTGGAGAACAACCTGAAGCCCCCGATTCCCCCCCCCTCGAAGTTGCCGTACACTTAATCAGACCACTGGTTGATAAAGGTCAGTGTTGTCTACTCTGATCGGCGGAAGCTCTCCAGGGTCTTCCACATCTCCTACGATCTCATCTCTGTTAAATGGAGATGCCCAAGATTGAACCTTGGACGTTCTGAATGCCAAGCAGGTACTCTACCACTGAGCTGTGGCCCCCTTCTCCATCCATAATTCTTCTAAGAGACCCCTGCATTGCTTTAGTCATTTGCAGAGTGCTGCCACCAGTTCGCTCTCTGAAGGGCAGCAACTACTCTGGGGGAGTGAATGGCCACTTGTGTACGTTGGCTTTGGGAGGGGGGGGGGGACTGGGGCAAGCTAGACCAGTCACTCGAGGTAGGCAAATGCAGGAGGGCTGGAGCCGCACTCCTTCTTTGCTGAGAGCATCTCCTGTTTCCTTAAATATCTCCCCAACAGTGAGTTAAGCAATGAAATATTGCTCCTCCAATACGGCACGGGCTTCAGAGCTTCTAAGAGACGGTATAGGTTTCTATTTTTAATCCTGCATAGGGGCCATCCAGGTGTTCTCTGTGCTTCTTGGGAGTGGAGGGAGGAGAGAGCGGAACGGCAAGCCCGCCTCTTGCAGTGCTCTCTGTTTTAGCTGCTCCCTTGCTCAGAAGAAGCCAACACAGGATCACACTGTTGCTTTTCTCAGAAATGCATTTGGCTGCAGGCAGTAGACGCTTTGACGGGGGTGGAATAAAATTAAGGCCTGAGAGGCACTTTTGTGAACGTGTAACAATATTAGCAGCTCGGCAACCCTAGGCTGGCGATGTTGTCTTGCTAATGGACAGGTACGGCTGCTGGGGAAGTAAATCAGAATGGAAACTTAAATTCAGTCCAGGGCTTCTTAATCAAAAGGAGGTTTATTAATAGACTTTAAGCCTGTTATGCTTGCTGCAGCCAAATAAGGCCTGTGCGAAGTCTTCCCACACAGGTTGCGTGAAAGGCCCCCTTTCCACCTGACCTCCTGAGATTTCTGACGTGGATCAAGACTCAATAGTGTCCTGTTGCCAGAAGGTTACTAGCTTAGCAGCGTTTTGGGAGAGAATGTAAACGGTGGGCAGAGAAAGCAGTCTGTGGTGTGGGGACAGAAAGCTTTCTTCCTTAGCTGCACAGAGAGGTTGTCTTAGCTACTGCTTTTGAACGTTCCCGTTATGTGATGCGAAGCCTGGATTTCTGAAGCTACATTGGTTTTCTTCCATGAAACAAAAGCAGGATTAAAGCCCTCATGTTGTGGAAAGGGGTTTTGGAATATTTGCTGATGGCTCCAAAACGGGGTAAAATAACTACTTTTCACAGCAGGAAGGTATGAAGCTGCCTTCAACAGAGTCAAACCACAGGTTTGACTAACCTCGCAGTATCTGCTGGCTGGGATCCAGACTAAATTCTCAATTCCTGCCCAATCTGCCTTCCTGCTGCAAAGCCTGTCTTCTCATTCCTCAGAGTTCCTTCCCACCCACTCCCCGAGCGGGGGGGGGGCAGCAGGGGGGCAGGAGAGTTTCATTCTGGCCTTGTAACATTTTGTCTGGATCCAACTCACTGACTGGCAGTGACTGGTCAAAGGGTCAGACGGAGGCTTTTCTCAGCCTTTGCTGTCTGAAATCCACTTTCGTTGGAGAAGGCGGGACCCTCTGCAGCCAAAGCACTGGCTGCGTTGCATCGCTGTGGCTCCCCCACCCAAACCCATCTCATGGCTTCCCGTTTCATTCTCCTTCCCCTGATCTCATCCCAACCTGCTCTGGCTTTTCCTACCACCCTGGCGTTAACCTGCCAAAAACTTCACACTTGGCAGAGGCTCTGGGGCTACTTTACATGCTCTGTGCTTTGTACACGGATGTAACTTCCTGCAGGCACTTGCTTTGTGTGAAGTAGCCTTTAAGATTAAATGCAACAAGTCTGTGCAAGGCAGATATTTGCAAATCTCTTATCTGAAGGCTTTGGATCAAATCCAGCTTTCTTGGTGCAGTTTCAGGTGCAGTTTTTAGGCCTTTTTCTATAGACTGTGGGTCCAGTTCAGGTGTGATCCAGCACCATATGCATACATTGAGTTGTACTGAGCATTTCGTTACCTGCTCCTCTTTCTCCCTCTCCCCATTTACCTTTCAGATTCCTCTAATTCAGATTGATGTGAGTGAGAGCTGAAAAAGGAAGGCAAACCTGCAAAGAAAAATGTTACTGGCTGACATTGTCAGTCATGTTGCTTTGTGGATTAAGGGTAGATGGATGATACTGGGATCTGATACCTGATTTCACGTTGGATCATAGGTTCCACAGTTCATAATACAAAGAGTGCAGCGCTTTGGGGTTTCATAAGGAAGCTAGTTACTTTCAAGAGAAAAATGGAGCCTTTCACTTTCTTTGGTCTGAGAATTACAGGTACAATCAGTAGCCTCATTAATGGGAGGTGTAATGGACCTCTAAGTGAAAGAAATTAGGAAATTGGCTCTGCTGGAGAGGGTAAAAGGATATGGTTCCTCCCTGCCCAACATCCAGCCCCTTGTTCACTATTGCACTATATCTCCAGCACGAAGGGGCAAACCAATTTCAGGAAATGTGCAGTTAACTGACGGCAAAGAGATGCTGCTTCTGTTGCCTCATTCAGTCTCATCCGCTTCTGTCGACTTTTCCAAACTACATGATTGTTGATCCCCTTGATAGGGGTTTAGGGACTGCCGGGCCCCCAGCTGTTAGTTTGGCATTCTCTCTTTCAAAAGCTTGGGCCTGGAGGGAAAGGGGTTCTAAACAAGTGGAGTCAATTCTCATCTTTCTGGTTGGATGTTTATAGGGAAAATCCAAAAATTCTGGGATATGACTTGCAAACATTCTTTGCCAAAAACCACACCATCTCTCCACTTAAAGGATTTCTGATCAATGTTGCTGAGAAAGACCTTTGGTTGAGACCTGGTGTTGAGTTTTGCAATTGGTGTGTTTGACAGCTCTAATTGAGTCTCTCTGTGTTTAATACTTAGTGTATTATTATTATTAGCTAATAGAATAATTCTTTAGAAGCAGAAAGCAATATCTATGCCACATACTGAAATATGGAGTGAAACAATATGAGAATTTGCAGTCAAAGAAAGAGTAGCCTTTATTAGACAAGGAACCACTGTGAAGTATCATGACATTGGTCTAATTTGTGGATTTACCTGGACATAAATAAACGTTAAAACTCCAGACGCCGAACTGAAATCACTCCCCATTTCGGACTGCCTGGCTCCCTCATGCGCAGGGAAGGAAGGAGGGGCGACTGATCTGGAGAGCGGAAGAGGCTGCCAGCTAGAGTGGAAACCGTTGCTGTGCTGCGTTAAACTTGCTGCCTTGTGGGGTGCAGGCTGTCTGGCTTTTGTATACTTACATATAAACATGGATTGCTGCCGTTTCTCCTACTGGGGGTGGTGCTGCATCTGCATACTCCATTGCCATCCTTAACATTTGAGTGGAGAACCCATAGCACAGTGTGGGACTGAGGCTTTGCATGTTTAAACTCCCTGGCTGTTGCCCCCCCCCCCCCGTGCCAAAGCGTTTCTTGCACCACGGCTGGGAATTAAAGTCTGTCCCCAAGAGCTGCTGTCGTTCAGACAAGACCGTAATTGATTCCATGCAGTGTTAGATAGCTTCATTCCTTAGACCATGGGTGTGGGGTGTTTAATTATCGTGCAGCATTTAGCAGTTGTGCGTGTGTTATGCATAACAGTCTTGTGTTTAGAGAGATGCTAAGCATCATGCCATCTACCCCTTAACAGCTTTGTTGAATACCCTCATCCTTAGTTTTTAACCTGGTTTTGCTTCAGGAGATGTAGGTATTCACTGATGGTATTCTGATCACTTCCCATGTTGTAGCAGACCCACATTCAACTTTCCTAGGAAGGCACTTCCAGATGCGGCTTCCGAGGAAATGAATGGAAAATCCACGGTCTCATGATCAAGGAATAGTCTTGCATCTTCTTGCCCGCCTCGAAGGCTTACATCTCTCCCCACCTTGGTATCTGAAGAAGTGAGGAGTGACTCATGGAAGCTCATACCCTACCACAAATGTTGTTAGTCTCTAAGGTGCTACTGGACTCTTAACTCTTTTCTATCTCGCTCCACTGTTAGCATCAGAAACATAAGTTCAATAAGAGTTCAGAAGCTTGCACCCGTTTGCAGTGAGCCTTAAATAAACAGTACCTACATTACTGCCTTCTGCCTTAAAGGATCTTGCCATCCTCACAATTCTAGATTTTAAAAGAAAAGTTTGCTCAGAATCAAAGTATAAAGGTAGACTTTCTCATATCTCATCTACTGGAGAGCATCACCTGCCACTGGTTCTTCTGGTTTAGAATAAGAAAATTTCTGGGCAAACAGGAGTCTGGGTTTTTGTCAGTCCTTAAGGTGACACGAGATTGTGTGTGTTGAAGCAGGCTGAATATGGCTCCTCCTCTGGGATTATTAGGAGCTGTGGTGGCTCAAGTGGTTAAGACGCTGAACTGCAGGCTGTGGAAGGTCAGTAGTTCAGCAGTTTGAGACCCGGGTGCCGCATGACGGAGTGAGCTCCCGTCTCTAGTTCCAGCTCCTGCCAGCCTAGCAGTTCGAAAGCAAGAAATTGCAAGTAGATAAATAGGTACCACTTCGGTGGGAAGGTAACAGTGTTCCGTGCGCCTTGGTGTTTTGTCATGCCGGCTACATGACCACGGAAATGTCTTCGAACAGCGGTGGCTCTTCGGCTTGGAAACGGAGATGAGCACCGCAACCCTAGAGTTGGACTCGACTGGCTTTCGAGCAAGGGAACCTTTACCTTTACCTGGGATTATTACCTGTTCTAAAAAAGAAGCACTCCTGCTTTGAGTGGAAATGCCACAAATTGACAAACCCATTTGTTGCGTGCCCAGTCTAGGTGGTGCAAATCAGTTCCCCGGTAGGAGCCGTGTACCCACTGGCCCTGTCCTAGATGCTGCCCCATTTTACATACTTCCTGCACAGAAAGCTTAGTGAAGCATGCCTCCAGCTGCCTGGCATGTGCATTGGGGAGCCAGTTTGGTTTAGTGGTTAAGAGCACGGACTCTGATCTGGGAGAACCAGGTTTGATTCCCAATTCCTTCACATGTAGCTGGTGGGTGGACCTTGGGTCAGTCACAAGTTCTCTCAGAGCTGTTCTCGCAAGAGCAGTCCTTGAAAGAGCTCTTTAAGCCCCATCTACCTCACAGGGTATCTGTTGTGGGGAGGGGAAGGGAAAGGAGTTTGTAAGCCGTTCTGAGACTCCGAGTGAAGGGTGAGGTTTAAATCCAGTCTCCTTCCTGAACATCCAGGGGATACATGTTTTACGTAGGAGGAGGTGGTACAGAAAGCGATACACAACGAGTTCACCTGTCCATTCAGCAGAGTCTCTTTCCATTGCCTTTCCCTCCTCTCTTGTGTCCTTCTCCTCCTTAGAGATGAGCATGAGGATTTCTCGGAAGAGATGAAAAGACTGCGGAAGCTACGTGGGAAAGGACCACCGAAGAAAGGAGAAGGAAAGAGAGCGATGAAGAGAAAATAGCACCATCCCTGTATTTAATAAAATGTTTTTGCGTCATTGAATAATTTAATTTGATCCATTTTTTTAAAAAAAAATCCTCTTTCTCCAGAGTGCTCAGGGTGGCCGATATCATGGATTACCTGCGCTTTGTCCTCCCAACTGTTTTCATGGTAACTGGGGATATGAACCTGGGACTCCTCTGCCTTAATCTAATTTTGGCTCCAGCACACCATTCCACAGTGGTCCCAACATCTTTGTGTGTGTGTGCTTGTAAGCCTGGATGTCATGGTGACTTCTGGTGACCCCTAGTGGGGCTAGGATGTTTTCAGAGAGGTGGCTTGATTGCCTGCCTCTGCATCCTGGCCCTGATATTCCCGAAATCTTTGAGTGGAGAGCCAGCTTCCACTTACTTTTCCATTTGGAGGAGAATTTGTCAAGGAGAGGCATCCTTCGTTGTACCCACAGTGTCCCTGAGAGCCTCTTCCCTGATGTGTAGTTCAATTTCAAAAAGAAATCGTTATTTATATAGAGGGTGATTAAAATGTGGAACTCACTGCCAGAGGATTTAGTGATGGCCACAGGAATAAATAGCTTTAGAAGGAGATGTGGGGGGGAGGTATTTGTGAATTTCCTGCATCGTGCAAAGGGTTGGACTGGATGGCCTTGGAGGTCCCTTCAAACTCTATGATTCTATTATTCTATTTTCCATGAATCTGTCAGTGGCCACTAGCCTTGGCGACTGAGGCGAACTTCCACATACCTCTGAATCCTGGAGGCAGGAAGCAACATCAGGGGAAGGCCTCAGTCTCTATGCCCTGTTGGCTGCTCAGAGGAGCTGGTTGGCCACTGTTTGAGACAGGAAGCTGGACTAGATGGGCCACTGGTCTGATCCAGCAGGGCCTTATGCTCTTAATGTATGTAGGTGAGGCCAGCAGCATACTTCTTGCCTGGCCGACAAGAACAGCAATGAGAAACTGGGAAAGATCCACCAAACTGATGTAGCCCATGCTTGCTTTGTTTGTTATGCTGGAGTGAGGATTTGAACATGGGTCTCTTAGGTCCTTGTGTGTCACTGGAGCCACTGCAGTGGTTCTCAAGCAACCCAAGTGCTTAAAGTACTTCACACAGTAATCCTTATAAGGCCAGTATTCCCAGCCTCTTAACAGTAAGTATATATAAGAGGTAAGTAGTGAAGTGTAGCCATAACCTGGATGGCCGAGGCTAGCCCGGTCTCATCAGATTTCGGATGCTAAGTGGGGTCACTTAGAGTGGCGGACTCTGATCCAGAGAACCAGGTTTGGTTCCCCACTCCTCCACATGAAGGGGAAATCAGCCCCACACACTGTGCCCCCCACTCCATTTGCAAAGGGTCTTTTTGCAAGTTGAGCATGTGACTGCCCCTCTCCCTCCCTCCTGTTAGGTTTAAATGGCCCTCCTGATGGTCTGTGGGCGGAAGGAGAGGAAGAGGAGGTGGTCGGGCAGGTAGTTGCTCTTGGAGGTGGGGCTTCCCCTGCCATCCAGCTGGCTGGGGGCGGATTGGAGCCCCCAAAAGTGGGTGAACCCTTCCCCGGGCCTGGGGGCTGGCAACCCTAATTTTAGCCCAGTTTTCCAGCCTGTCAAGATCATCCTGTATCCTGACTGTCTTCTACCATATTTGCTACCCTTCCCAATTTAGTATCATCTGCAAATTTAATAAGCATTCCCTCTATTCCTTCATCCAAATAGTTATAAAGATGTTGAAAAAAACAGGTCCCAGGACAGATCCTTGAGGCACTCCAATATATTACAATGGAATGGTTCAGGAAGGTGCTTTTTACACAGAATGGGGCTGTGGACTAGGCCATGCGTACAGTGTGCATTATATGTTCAGTGTATAGCATTGTTTAACGTAACGTCTAATACTTTTAGCTTTGTTTCAAATTTCTGTAATCATAGTCCTATTTCATTGCTTATGAGACATCTCATCTTATAGATTGCATTGTTTTACACTACTTAATTCACCTTGAGTATCAGTGAGAAAGGTGGACTAGAAATAAACCAAATTAAAAATTAAAAAACACCTGTATAGTAGAGTTGGATGGGGGGGGGGGGATATGCCACAGCAGAAATTAGGTGAGTAGGAGGGTTTGTAGAATGCGTATCCAGAAAGTTCCAGAAAAGGATTTCAAGATCAGTGAAAATAATGGGAAAAGCCAAAGTTTGTGACTTGTATTTCTTTTTTCACTTTTCTACCATAACTCTTACATGCAGTGTGTGTACTCCAGAAGTCTCTTGGGGCTCCTTGTGGGTGAAATCCGTGAGTTTAACTGCATAGATCACATTAGCAGTGGGGAAAACAGGAGTGTGGGGAACGAAGAGTCAGTTCTTAATTAAAATTGCCTCCAAGCGGTGAGTCCAGAGCTATCCTCCCTCATGCCCATGCTGTGGTACACAGCGGGCATTGTATGAGTCAGGCTATCCACAGACATAGCGGCAGTGATCTGGCAGCAATTTCTACTGTCACAGTGGTGTTGATTCAAACTGATGCTCTCCTGGGACTCAGTGACTGGGCCATCTGTTTTGTCATCCACGTGACTGCACCCGTGGGGATGGGCAACACACGAAGGCAACGACTTGTGTGGACTGACCCACATGTGATGAACATGTGCGAACCACACAGCCCATAGTGACTTATCACAAGTCACCAAATAAGTTTCATAACTCTTGTCACAATTTAATGCCCAGCATGATGGAACCCACATCATAGTAGTTCTGTTCTATGCCTTCACATCTGGCATCACATCACAAAATCAGTTCCAGAAATTACCTCAGGTGAAGCCAGGGGTCATTTCGTAGAAAAAGAGCTAGGGAAACTCATTAGCATAACTCATTAGCATATGCCACACCCCCTGACATCACCGGAAGTGTGTCATACGGCCACACCCCCTGACATCACCGGAAGTGTGTCATAAGGCCACACCCCGTACCTCACCCGGGGGAACTGCGATCCCCCGCGATCCCCCCCGAAAAGACCTTTGGGTGAAGCACATGTGAACCTGGTGGTCCAGCCCATCTCTCAGAGTAAGCTCCTTCACTCTCTTGTGGTAATAGTATGATCTTATGGTAGCTGTGTTATATGTAAGCAACAGCGATGCCAGCCGCCAGGTGGGACCTGGGGATCCCCCAGATTTATAGTTCCAGACAAGAGAGATCAGTTCCCCTGGAAGAAACGGATGCTTTGGAGGGTGGGCTCTATGGCATTGTGCCCCACTAAGGTCCCTGTCCTCCCCAGACTCCGTCCTCATATCTCCAAGAGTTTCCCAACCTGTATCTGGTAATTCAACCCCCCATCCCCTGCGGGTAGCCAAAGAGAACAGGGTAACCCTAGTAAGAAATAAGCAAATAGAGATCTGGCTTCCACAGCAGGCGTGGTTGCCAACTGTCTGGTTTCCAACTTGCATGACTAGTATCCCCCCCCCCCACTTTCTGGCCAGTTGCCAGATGAAATTTTCTTCCTCGAATGCAGGGAACAGGACAGAGGACAGTTTTTGACTTCAGGGCCTTTTAAGGCAAACAAATCTGCTGTGCCTTTAAGGCTTTAGCAGCATCAGATTTTTACTTTTCAGCCCAGGCCTTTCCCTCCTGATAGCTCTTCAATCACAAAGAGGGGGGGCGGGGTGGAAAAGGACAAACACGCACACAGAGGACATCATCTTTGTTAAAAGCACTTCATTTGGCCTCTGTTTTTTGTGCCATCACACAGGACTGGAGAGCTCTTTTTGAAATCAGATGCACTGCTGCTTTCTGCTAAATAGCTATTCCAGACCTGGTGACCAGGGAGTTTCAGTGGTGTTCTGTCCAGCCATATACATATTAACTCAGAAGTAAAGGTGGTGGTGGCTACAAGCATGGACGGCTCAAGAGGGAATTAGATAAGCATATGGGGCAGAGGCTATTAGCCTCAAGGAATAGATAGGGTGCTGGAGAAGACTCTTGAGAGTCCCTTGGACTGCAAGAAGATCAAATCAGTCAGTCCTAAAAGAAATCAACCCTGACTGTTCCCTGGAAGTCCAGATAATGAAACTGAAGCTCAAATACTTTGGCCACCAAATGAGAAGGGAGCACTCACTGGAGAAGACCCTGATGCTGGGAAAGATTGAAGGTCAAAGAAGACGGGGACGGCAAAGGATGAGATGGTTAGACAGTGTCATAGGTGCAACATGAAGTTGAGCGAACTTCAGAGGACGGTGGAAGACCGGAAGGCCTGGCGTGATCTGGTCCATGGGGTCACGAAGAGTCGGACTCGACTGTGCGACTGAACAACAAAATAGATAGGGACTCCAAGGCAAGTGATGCTCTGTATTTTTGGTGCTGGGGGTGTCAATAGTGTGAGGGGGGCTCCTAATGTCCTGGCCCCACTGCTGGACCTCCTGATGGCACCTGGCATTTTTGGCCACTGTGTGACAGAGTGTTGGACTGGATGGGCCACTGGCCTGATCCAACATTGGCTTCTCTTATGTTCTTAAAACTCAGCTGGTAAAATGGGGCCGGCTCGTTTACTCCCATTTATGACTGCTCTTTGGTATGTGGCTTCTAATCTGTGAAACTGCCTTATACTGAATCAGCTCATTGGTCCTTCTAGCCTGACACTGTGCATTCTGTCTGGCAATGAATTTCAGGCTCTCAGCCCGATGGTTCCCAGCCCTGCTCCCAGACAGCCATTTGCCTGGGGATGCCAGTGTCTGAACTTCCTAGGGTTGCCAACGCCAGGTTTGCAAATTGATTTGAGGGTGGAGCCTAAGATACTGGGGTTTAAGGAGGGGAGGGACATTAGCAGGGTATAATGCCATGCAGTTGACCTTCCAAAGTAGCCATTTTCTCCGTGAAAAGTGGAATGAATAAATGAATGAATGATTTATGTAGTCTGGAGATTTATGCAGACTGGAGAGATTGCCAGTTCCCACCCGGACGTTGGGAATCTTACTTCTGCCTGAAGAGCAGACGCTCTACAACTAAGCTGCCCGTTCTTCTTTGGGCTCTTCCTCCGTAAACTCCCGCTGCCAGGATTGTGTGCCACAGAACTCCTTGTGCTTGGGAAACTAATCAGTCCTCTTCACTTTTGTCAAAAATCATTTTGGACAGGAATTTCAAGCAAGAACGTAAAAGGCCATTTAATTCAAGCAGGTGAGTGCTTTGTTGTTTATATGCATAAAACATGCGTATGCAGAGTATTATTAAGGTATTGAATATTTGGCATTAAGTGTCCAGAAAATATTCTGGAAAGCACAGGGTTGCCAACTCCAGCTGAGAAAATTCCTGGAGATTTGGAGGATGGTAGAGGAAGCTTAGAGGGGATGTGATAGCATAGATGGCATCCTCTGGAACTGCCATTTTCTCCAGGGGAAGTGGTCTTTGTAGTCTGGAGACCACTTATACTTCTCAGAGAGTTCCAGGCTCCACCTGGAGGCTGCCAATATAATTTATGTGTGTTGTCTGTAAGGGCGTCGAATAGCTGTGATGGGGTTGCCAGGTCCCCACTGGCCACCAACAGGGGTCCAGAGGCAGGATTGCCAGATCCAGGTTGGGAAACCCCTGGAGATTTCGGGATGGAGCTTGGGGATGACAGGGACCTCGGTGGGGTACAGTGCCACAGGGTCCACCCTCCAAGGAATCCATTTTCTCCAGGGGAACTCTGTAGTTTGGAGATGAGCTGCAGTTCCAGGGGACCCCCCAGGACCCACCTGGAGGCTGGCATCCCTAGCTGTGTACTTAAAATTAACTGTACTTTCTGGAGTGCAGGGTTAACTCTCTGGAGTGCCTTTTAACTCTTCGCTGTTCCCCTTAGGTACATGGGCTCCAGCTAGGGTTGCCAACTTCCAGGTGGTGTCTGGAAATCTCCTGGGATTACAACTGATCTCGAGGTGACAGAGATCAGTTCACCTGGGGGAAATGGCCACTTTGGAAGGTGGACTCTATGATGTTGTACCCCACTAAAGTCTCTCCCTTCCCCAAACCCTGCCCTCCTCAGGCTCCACTCCCAAAATCTCCAGTTATTTCCCAACCTGAGCTGGCTGTTGGAAATGTATGTGTTTACAAGGTCTGATTCAGTCATTATAGGGTTAACTTGTATTCCTAGTTTGCTATTGTTTAGACTGACCTGGAAGGGATACCTGGCACTGAGCCATTGGGGAATTAGCCCAGGAAAAGTAACTTCTACTTTGATGCAAATTGGTCATTTGTTTCAGGTGACTTCCTTTCTAGGGGTCAAGAAGAAGGAGAGAATTTCTCCATTACGTGTGTGCTTGTTTTGTCTGTAGGCAGCATAGAAATGTAGCTCTTAGTGTTATGTTGATTTGTAGCAATCCCGTGAATCCTTTACCCTTAGTAATAAAGGTTTTTTAAAAAGCAAAGAACTCTCTTCTTTCCAATAGAGCAAGATCCATCTAATAGTCTAAGTATTAAACAATTTTTGACTATTTTACAACACTGGCAACACAGGCTCCAGCCCTTGACCCAACTGGCTCCACCAGATTTGTGCCTTCCAAGAGTTGGCAAGTGTAACAGCGGACAATCACATCCCCTTTAGCAAATGTTCCATTCCAAAGTTAATTAGGAGGACTTTTCTTTTTAAAAAATAATTTATTTATGAAAATTGTCATTTTATACAGCCACATATTTGACACTTTCTTTATATTTTAAGAGTCCTTTACATAAAGTTATTTTTCCACCATTTATACATTCATAACCATCTTTTTTGGAATAGAGTTTCATCTTTCCCATGAATTAACATAGTTAATTTGTCCATTTCTGCAGTGTCCAGCAGTTTCAAAGCTATTTCCTTATCAAGAGCAATGCTCTCCTAAGCAGTGAACCTATCTCATAATACCATAGTATTATGCAACCCTATCACAGCTATTTGACGCACTTACAGACGACACTCATAATACCATAGTATTCTCCATGACTATGTATGGGTGTGAAAGTTGGACAATGAAGAAAGCTGACAGGAAGAAAGTCGAATAATTTGAAATGTGGTGTTGGAGGAGAGTATTACACATACCGTAGACAGATCGAATGAGTTGCAGATCGAATCAAGCCTGAACTCTCCCTACAAACTAAAATTACTAAACTGAGTCGATCATACTTTGGTGACATTATGAGAAGACAAGACTCAATGGAAAAGACAATAATGCCAGTAAAAGTTGAAGGCAGCAGGAAAAGATGAAGAGCCAACATGAGAGGGATGGACTCAATACAAGGCTCTCAGTTTGCAAGACCTGAGCAAGGCTGTTAACAATAGGGCATTTGGAAGGGACATTCATTCACAGGGTTGCCATAAGTCAGAATCAACTTAATGGCACTTAACAGACACACTATCTGTGTCTTGTGCTCTACAAGCATGGCCTGATTGTTTTCAAGACCAATAATGTCAGGCATAGGTACAACTCCCATTCTTTTTAATAAAATAAAACAGAAGTTTTTGTGTGCATGCACATGAAAATTTATACCTTGAATAAAACTCTGTTGGTCATAAAGGTGCCACTGGACTTAAACTTTGTTTTGCTGCTTCAGATGAACAGCTACCCACCCAAAATTTATGAGTCAATAGCTCACTTTATCAGATACATGGAGGTTTCATCCTGGCCAGAATCTGTCCAGGTGGCACATGTTCATTATGGATTAAAGCTCCATGCTCTGATGAAGGAAGCTCTGACTCAACAAAGTTTTTGCAGGAATGAATTTTGCTAGTCTTCCAGGTACTACCAGACTCCTGGATCATTTTGCTGCTGTCACAGACTAAAACCTCTACCCATCTCTGGAGCTCCATTTAATCACTTGCAGCGTCTGTGGGTGGTGTGAGAAGCATCCCCGATGATGACAGATTTTAGGTTTTTGGAGAAACGTTGGAGTTTAAACTTCAGTGTTCCCTGGCTACTTTCTAATGTTACTTTTGCATTTTGAATCGCCTTTTTGTCGTTGTTTACTTGACTTTTGCCCTTCTGAAAGTGCTAAAAAAATATATTACATTTCCTTGCATTTAAATGAATTAGTATACGAAAACTGGTGATGAGTTGCGGGTGAAAAAGCCGGGAGAAAAATCGGTTAAGCAACGCCGTTCTAAGGAAACAGAGAAGGAGGGGGAGGAACCCTCCTGACAACAACAACTTGAGGGCGGGGAAGGGTCAGGAGGCGTGGCGCAGCAGTCCCGCGCCCTCTGGGTTCCCTAGGTGACGCGCGGGCGGGGGGGCTCGCGTCATGACGTCAGGGTGTTTCCCGGTGACGTCCACTCGGGCATGCGCGCTGGCGGCGATCCTGGGTGACGTCACGGCCGGGGTGTGACGTGTAGCCTCCGGGAAGCCTCTCGCTGCGGGTTCCGTGGTTTTTCTTCCCTTCCTTCTTCTTCCCCCTTCCCCTCCTTCCGCTACGGGTCGCGGCTGGGGGCGGCCGGGTCGTCAGGGGCGACACGGCTCCCCCTCTCCTTCTCCCTCCTCGGCCCCCTCCCCCTCCCCAGCGCTTCGATCCAAGATGGCGGCGCTGAGCAGCGGCGGCAGCGCCGAGGGGGCCTCGCTCTTCAACGGGGACATGGAGCCCGAGCCGCCTCCGCCGGGGGCCTGCTACGCGGGGGGCGGCGGCAGCGCCGGAGGAGACCCCGCCGTCCCTGAGGAGGTGAGGGCGGAGGCGGCGGCTGGCGGGAGGGCCGGCCTGGCAACGCGAGAGACCCCCCCCCTCCCTCCTTGGCTGAGGGGATCCTGCGGGGCCAGGCGGGTGTGGGCTGCTCTGCGGGGGGGGGGTCGGCCGGGGAATGGCAGCCGGGGGCCC